TAGCCAAATGTCTTCCAAATGCTACTGCTATCAGCTGTGTTAATCACAGAATCTTACCACTGGAAAGGACTCCAACCAGTCATCCAAACCTAGCCTCACCCAGGCAAAAGAACACAGATGAGCTAGTGCAGAGTAATCATTACTTGTGAATAGACAAGATAAAGCTACCAATGCCACCTGATGACTGTCACGTGTATTTCCCTCCTGATAATGTACATATACATCCTTGAGTTATCTAAAACCAATGTGGTGTCCACCTGAACTTTAACTGTGTATTAGCTGTTATCATAATCTAGACGAAGAATAAAATTTCAGGAATGGTAATTGTTCTGCCAAAACTTCATTCATATAACATGGGTTTTGGGAAAAATGTTTTCCTTATGGTTCATTCTTTAAATCTAACTGCCTGAATCAAAGAAGAAAGTGGCTGGTCAAACTCATTTGTCCTCAGTAAAATAGTGCAATATAGCAATGAATAGGCTACGCCAGGAGAGAATATCCTCCATATCCTTAGTCAAAGAATCCACACTATCCATTATTAAATAAACATTGCTGCTTTCCTTAACATTTATTCTTGAAATATTACAGACCTAATTAGATATGATCGTTTTCCCCTTTAACTTCAGTAACTTGAAGGATAAGTTTTTAAGGAATAGAAAACCCAATAAATATTTTCATTTCTTTGTATTTTTAAGAACTATCTAGAAAAATAGTAGAGATACTCATTTAGGTAAAACCACCACTGTGAACATGAAACTTGACATTTCCTATTGAAAACAGGACTACCGATTTTCTCTACTACAAACTGGCAATTGTATTTTAATATGTTATACTTAATATTGGGCACTCAAGCCAGCAGCAATAATGTCTGGAGCCATCTTTCCAGTTTCTTCTCCGACTCATGGGAGGGAAAGGAGAATGGGGTGTTTGGTGCATTGCGTAAGAATGTAGGCTCTGGAATCTGCATTCCTGGATATAAGACCTGCCTCCACCAGACCCTAATTATGAATGCTAGGGGCTTTTGGCCTCTATGTCTCAGTGTTTTTGTCTGTAAAACAAGAACATTAACAGCACTGACATCAAAGAGTTCTGAGGACTAATTAAAGTAATTCATGTAAATTGCTTCACATGGTGCCTGGCTTGGTCACTGCTCAATAAAAAAAGTATCTATTTTTATTACTCTTTTCCATGTGCCTCGTACTTCTGTTCAGCTAGAGTGCTTTCATCCCTCTGCGCTTTGTTCTTATTGTTCTGAATCTAGACCACCACACTGCTTGCTCTCTGGCCTGATGAAATCCTCTTCCCCTCCACGGCCCATCTTGGGAATGGGCCTAACCAATCATGACTTGGCCCTGTTGGCTTGCACCTCTATTGCTCTTCGTTTGCAATTCTCTTATTATATTCATTATATTAAACCTGACTTTCATTATAGTAATTTATGACCTTGTCTTTTTCATGGGTGAGGACTGTGTCTTACTAGCCTATTTATTCTCCATGGTATTTAACAATCTGCAAAGAGTGGTTCTCAATAAGCATTTATTAGATTTGAAACAGTTGTGCTTACTTATGATGGTGAGCATAACATTATCCTGCCTGTACTAGCAGCTCTCTCATGGGATGCTTACAAAGATTAAATGAGATAGTGCATGTAATGGGCTACTAACAAGGTTTTATTTTATCATTATCAACCACAGTTAATAGTTCTTTGGTGTGTATCATGTGCCGAGCCCAGGGGCTTTTCATTCCCCTTGCACTGAGTAGATAACATAAACGTGTTGTTTAAATGACTGATGAAGAAAAATGGCTCTGACATGGCAAATTTAAAAGTAACTATTAGCTGTATCATTAAAAAGTTGGCTTGAATAGTTCCTGATATTTCACAGCACAGTTTTGAGGATCTAAATAATTTGAGACATGCAGAAGTATAAAAACTTGCAAACTGTAAAAACGAAGGGCAGTATTCTACAAATGTGTGTACCCAGTGATCAGGACTACTAAGGGAAAACAGTGCTGAGAAAGTCTCCATCTTCTCAACCATAAAACAGGCCAATGATTAGAACCTCTGTGCGGGGTGCAATGAGGAATAAATTGGGACATGGTGAAGTTCTTACAACAGTGTAATAAGAAAACTGGTCTACCTTGTTTTTATCATAAATGATGCTCTTAATTATCTAATAAGTGAACATCTTAGGGTCAAGACAGATAAAGTCAATCCAAAGTTGACCTAAATTTTCTGAGCCACAATCTGTTCTAAATTCTTGACAGTGTGATATCACTTAGGTTATTGCCCTGTATAGGGAGACGGACATGGGCATTAATAAATAGTGAGAGGTCCAGAAGGATATCAGGAAGGAGAATGTGAAAACTTGGATAAGCACGTATTCATTTTCTAAAACTTAAAAATTTTCTAAAAAATTTTTAATTTTTAAATTTAAATTTAGAAAAATTTTCTAAAACTTAAAAATTTTCTAAAAATTAAAATGCCTAACTTCAGTTCCTGCAAACACATCAGCCTAATAAAATAAAAAACACATTTTTTTTTATTTTTGTGACATACTTTCTTTTATATATTACAGATATAATTTTAATTTGTTCTTCTATTCATTTCAGCGTTTAAAAGTGGTAAAATGGGGCAGCCCGGGTGGCTCAGTGGTTTAACCGCCTTCGGTCCAGGTCATGATCCTGGAGACTTGGGATTGAGTCCCATGTTGGGCTCCCTGCATGGAGCCTGCTTCTCCCTCTGCCTGTGTCTCTGCCTCTCTCTCTGTCTCTCATGAATAAATAAATAAAACTTTTAAATAAATAAATAAGTAAGTAAATAAATAAATAAATAAATAAATGTGGTAAAATGAGAAATTAAAGCACCAGAGATCTGAAAGGCAAAATGTCACGAATAAGGAAGCCAACAGTGTTTTCTTTTTCCAAGCATAATTATGTAAGATGTTTAAAGGGAAAAAAGATACTAAAGGAATTATTTAAATTAAACTTAAGGGGAGATCTAGAAGTCCTTCTCAGTGAGTCTAGTTTCTTGATTTTATTCTATGAATCTTTTTAAATATAAGGATGTACAAAGCATGAAATTTTTTAAAATGATGACATGGATGGAAACAAAATGCTTTGCAATGATTTAAATGTGTACTCTACTGTATATATACACATTTCTTTTTAAAAATCTGTACATGTAAAAGGCACCAAAATAATCATTTTCTCAAAATGATTCCAAGGCGTTAATGAGATTTCCTACCAAAAAAAAAAAAAAAAGACTCCCCAGACTAAACTCCCAAGTATGCGTGTCATCTGCTTTTTATCAGCACAATCCTGGCTTTGAGAGCTATGGAGATATAAATGAAAAGACAGAGGCCAGGGGGGTGGTGCCCCTTTGTCCAGATTTAGAGCTGCTTATATAGAATAGGTTTTAAACTCTTAAGTTCTGCTGCCTAGTAAAATTTCCAAAATAAAACTAGGGAGACTATCCTAGGTTGCCAAATTTTAATTTTGCAGAGAAGAGCCATTAAACAACCAACACATATTATCATCAATTTATGAAGGAAAGGATATTTTAATACCCCCTTAGAATAAGCAGCCTGTAATTTTAGAACAGGCAGTTTTGTGAATTAAATACATTTAGCTTTAAGTGAAACTCGCTATATAGTGCTCTTATCTTTTCTATGTTGATGGGACCGGAAAGCATTCATTCATCACTAAGAGAGGGCCTAATAAGATGGGCCAGAGACCACACGAGATGTCTATAGTGAGGGCACCTACTTTTCACTGCATATGGGTACAACAAAGGGGGAAATGGTGATAAATACCTCCCTCCTATAAAATAACCTGTTCTCATGTAGGATTTACAACATTCAGCTTGTCCAAACAGTTAAGCTTATTGCTACATCAGTGATCTTCTGAAGCACTGCACGTGGTCTGAATTGTATGTTATAAACATGGACACACAGAGCCTACTTGAGATCTCTTTGTACAGAACGGACATCAGTTGGGTTGACTGGGGAAATGAATGGACAGAGAGAGTAATGATTAGAAAAGTTGTGTCCAGCCATTGGTTCATTTTCTACCCTTTTGCTGTCTCTGTATGGATTATCCTATCACCCATCTGCATCTTGACCAAATGGCCACACATTAGGGTATGAGAAGTATGGAAGTGAGAAAATCTTGAGCATTTTCCTTTTGTATTCATTAGGACACAAATTTTAAAAATTACATATTTAGAAATCTTGGCTAGAATACATCTTTAGTGGTATAAATAGATTTTTGAAAACTGAAGTGTTTAAGAATATCATGGTATAGTGGCTAACAGCACAGGCTCCAAATTTATTAACCGCATGAACTTGGGTTTACTACTCCGTTTCTCTGTGCCTCAGGGTCCTCAGGGTCCTCTCTAAATGGGGATTTGTAAATAATGGTGCCATTCTCATAGGTGTGGGAGAGTAAATGGGGTAACATATTTAAGGCACTTACAACAGAGCCTGGTGAATATATTACTCTTACTGCTACTACTTATTCCTAGAGTACCTGAAAAACTCACAGCAGTTTTGGAAAATCTTATACTGGAAGAGTTGAACACAGTTTAAGAACCATATCCAGGGCAACCCAGGTGGCTCAGCAGTTTAGCACCACTTTCGGCCCAGGGCGTGATCCTGGAGACCCGGGATGGAGTCCCACATCGGGTTCCCTGCATGGAGCCTGCTTCTCCCTCTGCCTGTGTCTCTGCTTCTCTCTCTCTCTCTGTGTCTCTCTCACAAATAAATAAATAAAATTAAAAAAAAAAAAAAAAGAACCATATCCATCAATTCGGATGTAGAAAATTTCATCAAATGAGAAATGTTCGGAGCCCAGAGACTTAAGAAGAAAGAAAATAAATAATTGCAAAGATATCATCCTTGGCAATAAATGGTATCTGTTTTCCTTGTCAAAAGAGAAATATCAAGGTCTGTATTCTGGAAATCTGGGCAGCAAGAATGTTTTCCCCCAGCAACCAAACTCACTCCTTGTTCATCCAGTTTCATGAGCTGCTCTGTGACCTTGGGGGTATTGAAGGCCAGCCGCAGGCACTGGACATTAAGCTCAGGAATCACATGCTCCAGCACTTCCTTCAGGGGCAGGCCTCTGGCTGTCGAGTGCTTTGCCGTTGAGGGAATGGCATCCTCCAGGACCGAGCCTCTCAGTGTCATGAGCTGAAAGACAGACATGTGCTCTGATGAGGCCTCTCTCGGTGTGGGAGAGGTGCAAACACGCTGACAGCACCCACATGGCACCCGTACCCGAGGCTGTGATGACCCTTAAAGTGGGGAGAGGCTTCTGAATGAGGAGGGTGACAGAAAATACTCTGCATATGAAAAACGAGGCCAAGTCTTCCAAGAAGACCCAGGCAAGTCCAAAGGAACACATCATCAGGCCTTCCAAAGACACCTACTTCAAGAACAAATAAAGCATTTCCATAAAGACCTCAGTAAGCTCAAGGCCTTCATATGGCTGTAAACTGCCACTAACCAAATTGAGGAGATATCCCAGAGAAATATCTGAAGAACAAATGCTCAGGATTTAGATGTTGCACCTTTTAAAAAATTTTACATTATGTTATAGTATTACACAATTATTTTACATTGTTATTCTATTACACAACTTTATTACATTATTTAATTACAAAAGATAAGGGGAAGGATAAAGTTTTAAATTTCATAACATACTGCTGACAAGCACAAGCTATCTGTATCCCCAAATGCTACTACAGTAAGACCATGACTGTAGTTAGTACAGCAGCATAGTCAATAGCACTGCAAGTCACTTTCAATTTCCCCTTATTTCTTAAGATACTTTCCATTATTATGAAATAGAAACATAAGCAAAGAAATTTCCCTGTGAAATAATGATCTGTTGAAGTAAATACGAAGCCTAGAGCAGTCTCATTTCCCAAAACGTTGTCATGCTGCACAGTTGTTAATACAATGTAAACACCATAAACACTGTATGGTGACCCATCATGTGGAACACCTGCCCATGAAGCCGGTAGGGGGTAGGGTGAGGCCCTGGATCGCAGCAGGAGTGGCAAGAGCTAACCAAGGAAGGAGTGCGTGCTGATGGGCAGGTGTGGGGTGTGCGAAGGGCAGGGGGAAGAAGTACACGATGGCAATTCAGAAGGCTTGTGTTTACTGAGGGAAGTGTAACATGTTCAGGTGGAAAAGGGTCCCAAGGCAGGAAGTGGAGCGCTGTGGCTCAGAGCATAAGAAAACACCCTCATGGAAGAGGGGGGCACTAAGAAGGGGCCCTGGAATTGAGAGGAAATTCTATAAAAAATAATGTCAGAAAGTGAAAGGTGGAGAGGTAAGGAAGAACAGGAAGTGGGGCAGAAAGAGCCACTGCTGTGATGTAGCGGGATCTGAAGAGAGGGTGGCTGGTGAAGCCGGCAGGTTGCGGGGTGGGGGAGGCGTGCACCTGAGGGGTGTGCACCCCATCAGGCTCCCACAGGCAGCCTCAGGCCCTGTCTGAACAGGGAAGGTGACGTGTACTCTAAGATGAACAGCAAGAGGAAGGAGCTGCAGGCAGACAAGACATTCTGGGAAATCAGTCAAAGAGGACATGACACAGGGTTAGCAGGGAAATGGAAACCAAATGAAGAATCACCAGGGAAGTCGAATCCCTAACATCTGCCAACTGATGGGTAAGACAGAAGATGGCAGGAAAAGCAAAATTTACCAACATCTTGCTCTCCAAACAAGAACAAGGTACTATTCATTTGATTAATGTCTTTTCTTTCGTTTATGAATCACTTGTTTTCAAATGACACTTATGTAAAAAAAAAAATAATTTTCCCTGTGACTTAATACCGAATTTGGCAGAAATGGCTTCTGGGGCTTTGTATGTTTGTGTTTTAAGTCATAGGAAACTGCTCAACAACCCAGTTACTGTGCTCCTCCTTCCATGAGATAACCTGTGCCGGAGAGACAGGAAGCAGCAGGCGCTGGAAGTCTTTTCAGCTGAGAAACCAAAACCAGGAATGCTAATCCTGCACCACAGACAGACAGCAGCTCACCTCAAGGAAGCCAAAGCAGAGGAGAAAAAGAAGGACTCATTTTTATATCTAGATTTGTTAAATGATTTCCAGAAACAAGACAAGAATCCTTTTAATTCCCTGTGCACCTTTGCTTAAAAACACTCACATGTTGTCAGGTTTTGTTCATAGACTGTGAGGCTTACAAATATGTTCATGTTTTTGTTTATGTTGTTGGGGCACCTGGGTGGCTCAGTGGTTGAGCCTCTGCCTTTGGCTCAGGGCATGATCCCGCGGTCCTGGGATCGAGTCCCACTTTGGGCTCCCTGCATGGAGCCTGCTTCTCCCTCTGCCCATGTCTGTGTCTCTGCCTCTCTCTCTCTCTCTCTCATGAATAAATAAATAAAATCTTTAAAAAAATGTTTTTGTTTATGTTTTACAATGACGATTTCTACTGAAATGAAAAGAGGAAAGAGTGAAGTGCCTGTTGGACAGGGATCAACCATCTAGAGAGGTTTCTCTCAAAGGACTTCTGTTAGTTTATTTCTGTGAAAAGTTTCAGTAACCTATCACAGTTGAACCACATCTAAGGATGACTTTTATTGGAAAGGAAAAAGTGACACGAAAGCTAAGGATACTTCATTATGTACACATGAGAGAGGGAAGGGCAGGCCATGGGGAGGAAGGGATAGCACTACCTTCGATTATAGGCATTAGACCTGCAGCCATGAGCAAGTCAGACAACAGTCCCCATCCTCACGGGGCTTAAATTCTAGCGGAGGGAAAAAACAAACACAATAAAAAGTGCAACAAGTGAGGTGAGATGGTATGAAGTGTTTGTGAAAAAAAAAACAAAGCCTAGCACTAGACATGAAATGGGATGTGTGGGAGTAGAAATGTTAGATCCAGTGGCCAAGGAAGGCCCCTGTGATTCAGGAGTAAAGGTCAGGAGGAAATGAGGGCACCCCAGCAGGAGGAGACCAGGGGAAGATGCAGCGGGATGGAGGAACAGGGCAGTGAAGCCCTGAGGCAGAGGTGAGGAGGTGGCCCAGGGGGAAAGGAGGCCAGCATGCATGGTGTCCTAAGTAGCAAGGGCACCGACTGGCTTGTAGTCAGGAGAGGGGGAAGTTCTGCACTGAGGAAGAACAGACAGGGATTACATTTCTGTAGGGTCCCTGCAGGGCTCGGCACAGAGCAGAGAAAGGTGGTGGCGGCCGGGCCCAGGCCCAAATGGAGGAATGAAAGAAGGGGCTGAATTCTGGGCATATTTTGGAGATGTAGTCAACAAGCTGTGCTGACAGACCTGACTGGGGGTTGGGAGGCAAGGAGGAGAGAAGGGTCCAGTGTGACTAAGTTTCTGGCCTGAACAACTTCAGTAACTTCAGAGTTGTCAGTTAAACGTTAATTTGAACATAAAAGCAAGTGATGATGGTATCTTAAACCATGAGCAACATCTGACTTGGATGTTCCAGTCAAAGGCTAAGGCAATGGACCGAAGGGACAATGGATGGGCCGACTTTGGGTCCAGGTAGCGAGGGATGAAGGGCTGAAAGGACGGAGGTAGGAGAGGCAAAGCCCCCAACCACGGCGGGGGATCACATTCACCTAGCACAGCAGTTACGCTGGAGACAGAGGGGCGGGGACCAGATGGGGATACCCGCAGAGCAAGCTGCAGGCAACAGACCAGTGACAGGATGGGGGAAGAAATCCTTCACTTAGAACACTCCAACCTCTAGCATGAAGGACAGCAGGAAGTGGAGTGGCCCTGGGAGGGGAAACAGGTGAGAACAGGACAAAAATACCTGAAGCAAAGTAACATGCTCACAGAAATCCAAGAAGCCAGAAAGGCGCGACTCCCTAAGTCCAACTTCAAAACCAGCATGTTCTCTGTGCTTTTTACACTCAACGAAAGCATTTACCCTCTTCACGATCAGCTCTGGTGTGGAGAGACAGTGCACTAGAGCATGTGAGCTCTTCAGTTCTCTCTGACCACTACACACAACCTATTAGATGCTGAAGTCATGCCTTTAAAAAAATCCTATTTTTAATTTCCCTGGAGTTCAAGCCGAAGACCAATTACTAAGTGAAGCCAACCCCTGAAACCTGGCCTTGTATTCAGTGGGGGAAATGAAGTAAATGCCCTATTTAAACTAGTTTCAAAACCATTATTTCTTAGATATCTCAGGGGAGTATTAGGCATTAATGCATAACAACAATGCTAAAGTGCACTTGGCGCAGGGAGGCAATAATAAATTCACACTGACATGTTTAGAAAGAAAACAAAGGAGAAACCTTATTGTCCCAAACTTGTTCATGAGTTTACAACAACAAACAACAACAACAAACTGCTTTGTTGGCCATTTGATTTTCCCTTTTCTTTTCTGACTTGAATTTCATTTTAAAATAAAAACTCAAATATTTTGTGTGCTTTGATTCCTACAGAGCTCCAAGAGCCAGTCTGGAGAGAGCCTCGGGTTTGCAGGGTTATTTTTAAGCCTCCGCACAGTCTAGGGAACAGGCCCAGGAGAGGGCAAAGTAGAAGCAGAAGAAGAGTCTCCTTCCTCCTTTTTGGGTCAAGAACTGTCCGAAGCAACAGTTTGGAAGGGCGGTTAACTCCTGGATGACCCTCTCTCATCTGCAGGGCTGCTGGGGCTCAGTGCTTTCCAGCCAACTGAGCAGCCCACGGAGCAGGATATGCAACATCCAATTTGGAATCCTGCAGGCTCCAGTTTCCTGGGGCCATGCTTAACTGCGGTATCTTTCTCCGAATCAAAACTCCCATTCATTCACTGCATCTACTCCAGGGTAGATGGAAAGGAAGGACCCAAATCTAACCATTAGGTCCACCCCCATCACCACCAGAACAAATGAAAAGAGCCATTGTTTATTCTAAGACATTTGCAGCTATGTGCTATTAAATTTAATTGCTTCGCTACTGCTGCTCCTCATTCCAATCAAGCCTCAATCTTTCTGGTTTGCAACTTACCTCACTGGTTCTAAAAATTATTCGGTAGTTGTATGGAGATCCATTTTCCTTTGTTTCTTCTGGTTTTTCCCTTCGAATGCTCACAGCCACTGGACCAAGATTCTCATCGGCCCCAAAATAGTTCCAGTGTTCTTAGGCAAAATAAGAAAACAAAATTAGAACATTTACACAACACTTTAAAAATGTTATAATCTGTTTGAGGTTCAGATCACTCAGAAGTTATGTCAATAAAATGTCAACACATTTAATAAATATTCTTCAATAAGTTATAAAATCAGACTTTGGGCAGCCCCGGTGGCTCAGTGGTTGAGAGCCTGCCTTCGGCCCAGGGGGTGATCCTGGAGTCCTGGGATTGAGTCCCACGTTGGGCTCCCTGTGTGGAGCCTGCTTCTCCCTCTGCCTGTGTCTCTGCCTCTCTCTCTCTCTCTCTCTCTCTCTCTCTCTCTCTCTCTCTCTCTCTCTCTCTGTGTGTGTGTGACTATCAAAAATAAATAAAATAAAATAAAATAAAATAAAATAAAATAAAATAAAATAAAATAAAATAAAATAAAATAAAATAAAATAAAATAAATAAAACCAGACTTGGCTTCGCAAGTTTGGTCAGCACTGAACAGAGGTTTTTGGGGTTTTTTTTTTAAACTATTTTGCAACTTACTACACTTTACTTTTTTTTTTTTTTTTTATTTTAGAAATTGTGTTCTGTCCCTATATTCTACTATTTAAATAGGCTACACAGTGTGGGCTTCCTTGCCTAAGGGAAGGTTTGTGCCAGCACTTCTTAGCTTTTGTTAAAAAACAAAAAACAACCCTACACCTGTTGAGAATACAATTTGAGGACTGAGGGATTTCCCCCAGATTTAAAAAGACTTCCCAGGGGGCACCTGGTGCCTCAGTTCATTAAACATCTGACTTTGGCTCAGGTCATGATCCCAGTGTCCTGGGATGGAGGGTGGGCATCCGCATCGGACTCCCTGCTAAGTGGCAAGTCTGCTTCTCCCTTTTCCTCTGCCCCTCCCCCTGCTTGTGCTCTCCATCTCTCTCTCTCTCTCTCTCTCTCTCTCTCTCTCTCTCAAATTAATAATATTGATGATGATGATGATACTTCCCAGAACTGGAGAGGGGAGAAAGGTCTGTGAGTCACTCTCTCCCACCAAGAGTGGGGTCTATGAGGAAAGAGCTTCTAAGAGCCCCTAGGAGACAGCAGCAGAGACAGAGGGCTCTGGTTCCCCTACAGTGAGCACTAGAGACACCCTGGAAAGCCATGAACCTCAAGGGCAGGTTTGGGCTGGGATAACAGGTCTCTCCTGGGTTAAGTAGTGTGGTCAGGTGCCTGATGATTCAGGGCTGTTTTCTCAGTGTGCTGGCACTGCTCAAGACCCCAAACCTTAGCACAACCTTGGGATTGGGGAAAAGTCTCCAAATGACTTGGGTTGAATACTTTCTTCCTCTGGACCAGATGGAAAGTCAGGATCAAAATTAAACTAACTTACAAAAATATTTTTTAAATGATATTCACTACACACTAAGTATATACTTCTTTAAAAAAATTAAATTAGATGTTCACAGATAAGGAAGTCTATAAAACACAGAACTACAGGAAAAGCTAAAGTAGATAACTTATTTTTCAAACCTCCACAATACTTCACATGGTCCTATCTCATTTACATGTGACAAGGCTAGATGATGGAGTCATGACATGGTTAAGTTATCTTCATACAAAATGTATACAATTGAAAATACATGTCTTTCCCATATAAAATATAGAAGTATTTGAAAATCCATGAGAATAAGAAGAAATAACGGCATGAAATGTCTGATTGTGTAGTTTTAAAATTTAGGTGGCGTATATGAAGCTACCTTGCAAGTACTAAAGAATGATTATGGAAGATATAATGACACAGTGAGGGCTCTCCAAAAACATTATCATAATCCATGGAAATTCAAAAGAAGGAAACGAATGGGAATATAGGCAGCAAACATCTCATACATGGACAATGGGAGAAGCAACCCAACAGATGTCATAAAATTTATGTACAAACACTCACGTATACCCTCAAAATCCAGCACTGTAAGAATTGCACTCCAAGATTGTTTATTCTTACTTTGCAAAAAATTTTAATAAGCTTGGTTATCTGGTCTTCAAGTTCATGGCTTTATTTCAGAAGTGTGATCATTCCAGATGTTGACAAAGTCCAGAGTGTAGGGCTGACAAAGGCTTGCATGCAGACAGCAATGTGAAAGAACAACTGACAACAAGGAAGAGAACAGAAAGGCAGGAGACAGACACTGTATGAAAAAGTGAACAAGAACTTAAAGGAAAACAAGAGAGAACTTAAAGAAAAACAAATGGTCCTAGCCATTTAAGCAAAGGGCTTATTAACACACTTAAATAACTTCAGAGAGTATTTTAATACCACAAAACAGAACAATACAGTGGATGTGTCAAAGGGGAGTGTGAGCCACATGCGTTATATTCTGTTCTTTGCACTTTGTGGACCTGACTGGAATCCAACACTCTAGAAATGTCTCCAACACACCTCATAGACCTCAGGAAGGGCAGGTGAGACTGCTGTTCTCTGTGGCTGGAGAGGTTCAAAGCTGCTATCAGTTCATTGCCAGTAACCTCAACTCCCTTCAAGTTGTCCTGGGGCAGATACTTCAAAGGTCCTCTGTTCTCATTCCACATAGCCCCGTCCCATAATCTACCTTCTCTTCAATCTTAGCAAATGACAGCACTAACACCACATGGAAAATAAAGGAGCTGTATCATTTTCCACCATCATACACACAAACTGACCTGGAGCCAGACTTTTACTTCTTTTTCTTTATAATCCCAAACCCAATCTCCCACCTAAAGTTTGGTCTTCACTCATTCCACCTTCCCTGGGACTCTCATGCCTCAATTGCCTTCTTCATCTTTAGCATCTCCCTCTCTACTTTGCTCATTCCCATCATCACTGAATCAGACTCCTGTCTCCATCATCTTTAAACAGAAAACTTTTCAACTCCTTATCACCCTTCAGGTTGTCTCCTCTGTCTTTGCTTCCACTGGCAACTTTGTGAAAGACCTGCCTAGTTCCTCACCTTACAATTATTACAACCTGACTCTTGTTGCACAGCCACCAACACCAGCTTTTAAGTTAAAACAAATAGATATTTTTGGCCCTTATTGTGCTCCAAATTCTCCATAACATTTGGCCCAGATGATCATTTTCTCTAGAAAGACATTCACCTCCTAGCTTCTGTGACAACACTCTTCTGTAGATTTTTCTTCTGCACTCTGGCTGTTCTTACTCCCGCCCTTCCTCTTCCCATTGTGAATATTTCACCCACACTCAGAAAGAACTTCTACCATAATCTCAAACTTGAGGACTCTCGAAAGTCTAGTTGCCTACTATAGACATCTCAAACCCACTATCTTCACATCTTCCCAAAGGTACTCTGTCCATGAGCATTTACAAACATGAACTCACTACCGTCCACAGAAGCCTGCACAGCTTTCCCTGCAGTCCTGATTTCAACAACTGCTATGACATTGACCTAGCTGCCCATGCCAGACACCCTGGGAATTCTAGCTCCTAAATAGCTCTCAAATCTACCTACCTTCTTTTTCATCCCACTGCCATGGGCTTACCCTCAGCATCATCTGCCTAGATATTTGTAGGTCTTCTAACTGGTTGGCTTATATCCAAATTGTTCACACAGTAGCCAGATGATCCTTCTACAATGCTGACCTGATCATCACTATTCAGTTTTAAATGCTCTAGTTTCCCAAGGGTTCTTGGATCCTATCCATGGCTTTCTCTGTCATGAGCCTGTCACTCGAGGCCAAGTTAGACCATTCCATCATCCTCTCAAACCCACTATACTGAATTTTTCTCAGTTGCTCAAACTTTAATATACCTTTCTCACCTCAAAGATTGCCTAGAACATTCTTCCCACAGCTCCACTTGATATGACTAAGTCCCCTCACCCTGCAGGTCTCAACTGAAGTGCTATCTAGGCATCCTCTAAAAAGTGACAACACTGGAGTAAAATCCAAGTGTTTACTCTGTACATTAATTCCAATACTTCGTTTTAAAGTAAGAATTCATAAAAAGACAAATTATTAAAGTCAAATATTTCAAATATAAAATTTTAGAAATATTAGGACACAAAAATATAAATTTATAAAAATGTAGACATTAAGCATTACCACTTTAGTATAAATTGGTAAGATAGTATTGTTTTGAAAATAAACTAAACTACATAAAACTGAAGAATATTTATAAAAAAGATCATTTAAAAATTTTATGCATGCTATTATCAAGTCCTGACCATATATGTATATATACATATTTTTTTTTGCAATTTTTGCAGCTGTTAAAGAAGTACATTTATGAATTGGGGGAATGTTCATGGGATAATTATAACTAATTTCTAATATTTCCTTCAGAGTCTATCTTCAAACAAACCCATCTCTAGTTTGATAACTCTAAAAAGAGCCTTTTAAACTTAACATGTGTATCTGTGCAGAAACCTCCATTTTCTTTTCTTGAAAAAGAGCTCTACCTATTATTTCCAAGAAAGCATTTCCATTTGTTTATCTAGTTCAGATGGAAATTCTGGTCTGGTTTCTGATGTTAAATTCACTACTATCATGATCAGACACTGCTTGTTCAAAATGTCTTTCCACTTGAGTAAGAATTATTCTCATAATAAAAGCTTGGTTTTTTGTGTACCCTATGTTTCCTGCTCCTGACGACTACAGAGGCCTAGAAACATACCCTTTCTATGTGAACATAATTTTATTCAGTTTAAAATCCCAACACAGTGTGTAACTCTCTAGCAGAGAACATTGGCTCAGTACATCACTTTAAATTAAATCTGGGTCCTTAAACTTTGATCTCAAAACAAATGACTGACTTTTTTTTTTTTAAATCAAAACACCAGCCTTTTTAGAGGTATCCTATCTGGTCCTTTTGGCCAGTCTTGGCTCTGCCTGTCCTTCAAGCTCAGTGGACTCAGAACCTTCCTCCTAGCGGCCATCCACCTGGCAAGCTCTGCTAGCGGAGTTATTCGTCAATTGCAGAGAGCTCTTTCAGCCAAACCCACGGATCAGCTTTGTCTTTTGCAGGAATGGAAGGAGGAA